TCCGATTACTTTTGATAGCAGCTAATATTTAGAATCCTATTATTTACTAGCAACTCATCCTAATACTAGTACTAATTTTAATACTTTACTAATACTGATTATAATAATAGCTATTTACAATAGTGTTATTTTCATAGCAGCTAATACTGCTACGAGTAATAATGAAAATTAATATTGGCATTAACACTACTATGAATACTAATATTAATAGTGATAGTCATATTCATACTAATCACAATAATACTAATATTAATGTCAATACCGTTTAAATAGCAGCAATTTACAATCCTATAGCTTTTGATAGCAGCTATTTAGAATCCACTTATTTTATCGGCAACTAATACAAATACCAAAACTAACACAAATACTAAAACCAATATATACTACGGTGACGTTTTTTAAGTATATGGGGGCCCGGCCAGCCGCACTGGCCGCAGAGGTAATATAAAATATTTGTTTAAACCCGTATATTTAAATCCCGCCTTCCAGCCTGCCAGCCTTCCTCCAGCCCCAGCCAGCCCTCCTCCACATCCAGGTCAGCCCTCCAAGGTTGGAAGGTTGGAGGAAGGTTGGAAGGTTGGAGGAAGCTGGAAGGCTGGAAGGCTGGAGGGCTGGAGGGCTGGGCTGGGCTGGAGGAAGGCTGGAAGGCTGGAGGGCTGGAGGCTGGAAGGTTGGAATAGAAGGTTGGAAGGCTGGAGGGCTGGCTGGAAAACTGGAAGGCTGGAAGGCTTGAAGTCTGGAGGGCTGGGGAGCTGGAAGGCTGGAGGGGGGCTTGGAAACTGAGGCTGGAGCGCTGGAGGGGGGCTGGAGGGTGGTGGGCTGGAGGGTTGGGCTGGGAAGGCTGGGCTGGAGGAAGGCTGGAAGGCTTGAGGAAGGCTGGAGGGCTGGCCCGGCTTTTACCTGAACCCAAAACCCTTAAACCCTAAACCCGAAAATCCTAAACCCCAAACCCACCAATCACCTGCCAATCTCCGGATACTTTATTTCGAGGCGGGCCCGGGCGATGTTTCACGGAGGTAGTGTAATATACCTGTTTAACCCATTTAAATATCCGTGTATTTAAAAACAGACGCCGTAGTTAAAATACTAGATATTTAAAATATGTTTTGTTAATAGCAGCTAATACTGATACTAATACTAGACTGATACGACTAATACTACTATGAATACCAATATTTATACGATTTCTAATATTGGTACGAATACTGATCATAGTAAAACTGTTATCAACAAAAAGTTATTCTAGTAGCAGCTATTTACAATCCTATTACTTTTCATAGCAGCTCTTTGAGAACTTAATATTCTAATCGCAGCTAATACTAAAAATAATATGTTACGAACATTAATACGAATACTAATTATTAAAATCGCTTTTCCACATACTGTTATTTAAATAGCAAGCAGCTAGTACGAATAACAGTACTGATACGAATACTATTAATACTACTATACATACTAATATCTACACGAATACTAATTTTAATAGTAATACTAATCATAGTAATACTGCTATTAATAAATACTATTCTAATAGCAGCTATATACAATCCTATTAATTGTAATAGCACCTTGTTGAAAACTGATTATTTTAATAGCAGCTAATACTAATATTAATATGACTGGTAATAATTTTGATAGCTTTTTAGAAGTAATAGCAACTACTAATGCTGGTATTGATATTCATATTAATACTACTATGAATACTAACATTAATATTAATGGTAATAGTTATATTCATATTAAAACTAATAATAGGAACACTAGCATTCATGCTAATTTTCTCAAATAACAGCTATTTACAATCTTAGCACTTTGATTGGCCGCTCTTCAAAAGCAAACCCATTATTTTAATCGCAGCTAATACTAATACTAATATTAATTAAGATATTAGTCATTTCAAACACTATTATTTTAATAGAAGCCGAGACTTAAATTAGTACTAATGTTAATACTAATGTTCATAAGAAAAATATTGATAAATACAATAGTAGCAGCACAAAGGCTAATACTAGTACTCATACGAATATAATTTCAATAGCAGTTATTTCAAAACCTATTACTGTTAATAGCAGCTATTTAGAATCCTATTATTTCAATAGCAACTAATGCTAATACTAGTACGAATACCAATTATAATAATAGCTATCCAAAATTCTGCTATTTTCATAGCAGCTACGAATGTTGGTATTGATATAAATATGAATATTAATACCATACTATGAGTACTAACATTGATACTAATATTAATTGTGATACTTATATTCATATTAATACTAATAATAGGAATACTAGTATTCATACTAATTTTCTTAAATAACAGCTATTTACAATCTTAGTACTTTGAATGTCAGCTTTTTTAAAAACAAACCCATTATTTTTAATCGCAGCTAATACCAATATTAGTATCAATACTAATGCGAAAACTAATATTAATTAAGTTAATAGCTATTACAAACACTATTATTTTAATAGCAGCTAATACTAACGCTAATATCAATATTGTTACTAATACTCTATGAATACTAATATCAATATTAATAACAATACTAATATTAATACTAGTAATAATGATAGTAATACTAAGACTAAGACTAATGCTAATACGATTTTTTCTTATAGCAGCTATTTCAATACTTATTACTTCTAATAGCAGTTATTTTGAGTCGTATTATTTGAATAGCAGCTAGTACTAATACCAATACCAATACTAATACTAATCCTAATACTGACACTATTACTATCATTACTACCAATATTAATACTAAAGTAGCTTTCTGGTGCCACCATTTGTTCTACTGAAACTTTCCTTACGGCTGTATTTTCCAAATACTCAAATGGCAGTTTTTTGCGCCCAGGACGTCTAGATAACGGCTCTAGAGACATCGCACGAAAAGGCTCCTCAAAAAATAACCCTTCCCGGCAAATGTAAAACCTGTACTCTGTACTCTCTAGCTCTATTTCGATGGGCACTTTGCATATCGCCCCCCACTCCCCATGATCGACCGTTGCCAGACCGCCAACGGTGGATCATGGGGGGGGGGGCGAGCATATATATATATATATATATATATGGTGAACCGGAATCGCCAAATGAGCGGGCTTGTTTAACACGTATCATGAACCGTTATCGCCACATGAGGGGGCGCGTTTATCATGTATGTTGAACCGTTATCGCCAATTGAAGGTGGAGTGTTTAAGCTATAGGCTGACTCGGAATTACCGAATAGGGGGGGGGGGGGTGCTCACCGCTTGCAAGTGCGTTTGCAAATTGGGGGGGGGGGGGGGGGCGAAATAGCCAAATGAGGAGGGGGGATGTGGGGTACGGGAATCGCCAAATGAGGGGGCGTGTTTGAGATCATATGATGAGCCGGAATCGCCGAATCAGGGGGCGCGTTTAAGATATGTGCAGAACCGGAAGCGCCAAACGAGGGGGCGTGTTTAATATGTATGATGAACCGGAATCGCCGAATCAGGGGGCGTGTTTAAGATATATGATGAGCTGATATGAGCTGTAATGACCAAAAGAGGCATTAAAGGTTATAAGTTATATATATACACATAAATATAGACATACACATATACATATGATGAGCCGTTATCACAAAAAAAGGGGGGCGTGTTTTACTATAAATGGTGAAAGGTTATCGCCGAATGATGGGCGCGCTCAGGATGTATGATGAACCAATATTACCAAAAGAGGGGGCATTTTTAAGACATATGGTGGACGGTTATCGCCGAAGTCGCCGAACGAGGGGGCGTGTTAAAGATACATGGTGAACCGGAATTACCAAAGGGGGCGTGTCCAAGATATGTGGTATAGTATAATGGTGTACCCCATTCGCCAAATGAGGGCGTGTGCTTAAGATGTGATGAATCGCCGGTCCTCTTTTGCATTGCGTTTGCAAACCTGGGAGGGCCATTTTGTAATTCTTCTTGACATTTTCAAGTGTTCCGGATCCATCGTAGGCAAAGAGGAGTCCCCGCTTCGTCAAACCGCGCAAGCTCGCTGCAAACATCATTCTGCCAGCAAAAACAGAGTCCATATGAACGTGATGCATACGTACATTGGGTTTGCAACTGGCCCCCCCCAACCGCCCGCTTTCTTTTTTGTGCCGTGCATGGCTTGCCGTCAGGAAGACTTCCGTCAATCACATAACTCTTTGTCAAGAAGGAATTGCGTCAATCACATGCTTCTTCTTGAAAGTTTCGAGTGTTCCAGATCCATCATACACGGTGCAAGTTCTCGACAATCCAGGCCCAGAAAACCGTAAAAGATCACCACAAAAAACCAAAATCAGGCCCCTCCGCGTGACCCTTACAGGGTTTTCTACAATCCAGGCACAGAAAACCATAAAACATCCAAATAAAGCATAGAAATACAAAAATCCTGGACCCTTTTGCTTGCGTCATCATCGAAAGCAACCCCAGCACAGCAGGCTCAGCATCATCTGCATGATCACGACGACTACCGGGCAGGATTCTCTTATACTTCAGACCTGTAAGCAAACTTGTGCTCGTCCTGCTGCATTCTTTTGCCGTGACTGCTGCTTGTACCTATCGCGGCTACTACCACGACTACGGCTCTTACGCAAAGACGACTGCTACTATTGCTACGGCTGCTCCTCCTCCTCTGCTGCTACCGCTACTACTGCTACTGCTACTACTGCTACTGCTGCCACTCTTGCTGCTCCTGCCCCTGCTGCTGCTGCTCCTGCTCTTGCTGCTGCTGCTCCTGCTCCTGCTCCTGCTCCTGCCGCTGCTGCTGCTGCTACTGCTGCTGCTACTGCTGCTCCTACTGCTGCTCCTACTGCTACTGCTGCTACCACTCAAATTACTCATATTGTTTTATTACTGCTGCTGTTACGACGACTGCGATGTCCTTTAGCTGTTAAAGATGGTCACTGTGATATCATTCTGGGATTCGAAACATGAATTGAAAGCGTGCCGTCGACTTGCTTCGTAGAGAACAATGTTGGACATGCACTTTTGCTCTCCAGGTCATGAGAGCTGATCTGGCCAGCTCCCAACTACAGGAGGTGTCCAGCAGTAGACTTCGTAGTCCGAATGTGGCAACAGCCTGCCGCCCAAAGTGGGAGCAAATTTCTGACCTGTTGATCTTGCAAAGGACGACTGCACGGCTGTCAGCACTCGAATTGAGTACCCCATCTCTCCTAGACAATGCGATTAGCGCTGATGATTAGCCGAGACATCGAGAAATGCGTTCAGCTTTACACACAGACTCATGCAAGAGCTTTCATGTTCTGAGTTGTCCCAAGACATCCGCTCACACGCAGTACTCGGATTTTAGTGCCAAGCCTTGCCCAGCCGGGGACATTCCGAGCCGATGCGAGCCGCTTGCAATGCATCATCAGCAGCAGCAGCAGCAAGAGTGCTCGATTTGGGCCAGCACCGTTGGGTTTCTTGGCCCAGGCGTACGAGCATCGCCGCACTGAGAAGCAAGACGGCAAGGTGAAGCAAGCGAAGCACACTTGCAAATCCCCAGGTTGCTCAAGGCCGGGAGCTATCTCCAACATGTGCTCTGGTCGCGGATTGCACTGCAACTTGCACTTCTGCTGCTGGTTGACTATAGTGAATCGAGATCCAGGCTTCACACCAAGGAGAATTGTCGATTTGCATAGAATTGCATTCCCTACTGCTGCTTGCGAGGAAATGTGCGGAAGTGCGATTGTTCCAACTTCAAGTCGTGGAATGCATCGATGATTGCAGGCCTTGCTGGGACGGACGCCCAGGATACTGCAGCCGCAGTTGTCGAGATAAATGCTCCTTTGCGGCACGAGGTGTTCCCACTTGGCTACATAGCAAGCACGGAGACTTCGGTCACCATGAAGTATTGCAACTTGCAGCAGTTCGCACCTTCCAATGCGAATTTCTTCAATTTGTTATGCCAGACTTGTTTCCCTGATGGTACTGGTAGCAAGTGGTCGTCGACCCCAGACCATGCTGCTACTGCGTTTGGTGGGCGCAGCTTCGAACAGCATTGATTCAATTGCATCCTCATATTGTTCTGCTTCCAAGGCCGAGGTCAGCACAAGGCATCTCAACTGCAGGTTAGATTGGAGCATGGATGTGATGCTGGTGGAACGAGCCTGATGCTGTCGGTGGACTTTCTGCAAAGACGGGCAGCCTTGCGTTTTCTTGACCAGCCAGCAAAAGCCGAACTTGTCAGGAATCACTTCCAGAAAACTACCCTCTCATGATTCCTTTCTCGGTGCTGGAGCAGGATCGCTACATGTGCTTCTTGTCCAAACTAAAGAAATTAGTGTGTCTTTGTCCTCGTTCCTCGGGGACTTCTCGATGCTCCAGGTTGTCAGCGGGAGTAGTCCACGAGCATGTGCTCGTGCAATGGTCGGTGATTTGGGCTGAAGCACATGTTCTTCGTGGGCATGTTGCAAGGTGCGTTCTACTTTCCCGGCAAGGATATGCCGTGGGACAAGGCCCTGGCCTCATCCTCCTAATTGGTCGGCTTGCGGGCAAGCACAAGTGATGCGACACCTAGGACTGCCGATGTTCTTTTCTTGGCAACTTCTTCCCGGCCTGCGTTCGCATCATGATCGCCGACCACATGTACTGCTTCAGCCTCTGGGACCGGAGAAGTAAGATTCCTCAGTTCTGCATGCTCACACTCTGCTGTACCAAAAGAGCAGGCACCGTCCTATGCATACACTCTCTTTTGCGCTGCAACGGGCAACAGAGCGGTTAGCCGAAGGTGTTGTTCGTTTAAAGTCGAACCAGCCTTCGTCGGGGCGGTTCGCTCCCTTCGGGCATTGGAAAAGCCTCTGCCGCCACCAAGGCCCGAAGACCAGGGAGGGCGGGAGGGCCAAACTTCAACTGAGCCGAAAAGTCTTGAGACACATCGGCTCATTCACTTGCAGAACTCTATGTTATCGCTAACGAGCAAGTTCTGCATGCTCACACTCTGCTGTACCAAAAGAGCAGGCACCGTCCTATGCATACACTCTCTTTTGCGCTGCAACGGGCAACAGAGCGGTTAGCCGAAGGTGTTGTTCGTTTAAAGTCGAACCAGCCTTCGTCGGGGCGGTTCGCTCCCTTCGGGCATTGGAAAAGCCTCTGCCGCCTTATCTAGTTTATGCAGCGAGTGTATGCAGGAGTTCGGTTCCTTGGAAGACAGGGGAAAGGGGGGGGCAGCACGAAAACCCGACTGTTTCCGGACCCATCCAACACTGTCCGCTGTCCGAGGCTTTGCCTCAACTCACAAAACGACTTGCAAAAGAAATAGGGCGGAACGCCAGGCCGCCACTGTACATCGGAGCTTTCAGCTCCCATTCCGGCGGAACGCCTGCTCACAGGGCTTTCTCCCGAAGGCTCCTCAGAGCTTCAGAGGTGGAAACCATCCACAGCGGAACGCCGTGCTGAATCGTCAGCAGGCAAATCGTTCTCGGCTGGGGCGGTATCACCTGCAGCCTCACCTCCCTCAGACGTCGCAGAAGGGGCCGAGGGGTGAGCTTCCGGCTGATCGTGCCCATGATCCGGATCCACTGGCCGCCCTGCTGCTTGATCTTGTGCAGGATCGGGCCGATGCGAGGGAGGTTCTGGCCGCCCGTCCGCGGTTGTACCCGATGGTGCAGAAGAGGTCCCCGTCGAGGTGCTCGCTGTAGGGCCCGAGGGAGGCGGTACGCCTGAAGGTGGCGGAGCGCCTGCGGATTTGGAGGCCGTTGTAGGTTCGGCTCTTTCCGCCTCCGCATCGACTCTTGCCTCCAAGTAGTCCAGGAATTGCTCCATGGTGTAGCAATTCCCCACCTCGTCTTGGGTCCATGTGACCCCCTGCCTTTCCAACCTTTCCAGCCTGTTGAGGAGATACAGGCGGTGAGAGCGGCCCAGGCTCATCATGGGCGGTAACGCCCTCACAGTTTGCGAGGGGGTAGCTCGGGGCTGTAGCGCCACATTGCCTTGGGCCACTTGATGTTGCACCGCACGTAGTCGAGAGCGATGACGTTGGAAGGCTACCGCCATGGAGACCCCTGCATCCAAGTCTTCCATGTACTTGGGGTCGTTCCGAGCGGTTTCATTGGTGGCTCTCACCTTGACATTGCTGGAACCCCCTTTGCCTTTCTGGCCTCGCAGTTGGGCGGTCCCATCACCGCACTTGAGTTGTTCGCGAGGTTCTCCAGGAGTGCCCTCTGTTGGCCGGCGTTAAGGCCTCTCATCCTTTGCTCCAGTTCTGCACATTCCCGTTCAAGACGAGCGACCTCCTCAAGCTCTTCTTCGTTGAGGGCCACATCGTCCTCTTCTTCCTCCTCGTCGGACACCACACACTCATCCTTGGGTCGGCTCCTTTTGCAGTACCAGTGAGTGGCCCTCTTGAAGGTGTTCCCTGTGCCTTTGCCGCTCGAAGTCGAGCTTGGGGCGGAATCACCCTTCCCTTCGCCTGTAGGCGGTGCGCCCTCATCTGGCGGAACTGCCGGCTCGTCACCCAGGATCTGCATAGCCCCATCACATTCTGGGCTCGGTCAGCTTCCGCATATGACTCTGCAAGAGGAAGCTGGCGAGTTGGAGCCGAATAGATACAGGGAAGGGCGGTGCGACCCGGTCGCGGTGGCCCTTCATTGCTGCCCAAGGCTGGGGTTCCGCAAAAAGTCCTGGAACGTAAAGAGAGGCCGATGGTCTCCCGTGGCTGGGCTGAGGGGCGGTAGATCACCTTGAGGTTCTGGATGTGCCTCCTGCAAGTCCATGAAGCACGGGTTGCCACTGTTGGCCATCTGAATCCGGGTCATGTGGCCCCGTCTGCGCGCCCAGTGAAGAATGTCTTGAGCAACGCGCCGGATGAAGATAACTCCCACACGGCCCCATGACTGCAGCCCACAAAGGGCCCTGCGACACATAACGACGTGCTGGAAGATGGTCCAAGGTAGGACCAGCCGAGGAGTCGTTTCGTCCAGGTCTCTCACCGTGAACCACAAAGCCTCCCCATTTCGAGCCACAATCGCCATGGGGCGACTCTCCATGGTAGGGCCTCTGGCCTTCTTCGGTGCAGGTCCATGTGGAGGGTCGCAGACAGGCTGTAGGCCTCCAGAAGCGAAGTCCCCGGGGGCGTAGCTCTTCGGGGCAGCCGGGGTGTGGGGCAATGGTTCCTCCGGCGGAGCGCCCATGCCCTTACCCTTTCCAAGGCCCTTTTTGGCGAAGTAGACCGACTTGGGCTCCGGTGTCGGAATAGGTGGTGGTGGCTGAGGCGTGGTTGCGGCGGCAGAGGGCGGTGGCGCCTGAGGTTCTCCGTCCATCTGCTCGTCTCTGTCCAGGCCCGGTGGGGGACCTCCCAAGCACGCACCCAATTAAAACCCTTCCCAGGCTTTTGCTGAGGCCTTCCCGCTGTGAGCCTCTTGGGCCACAGCAAGGCCTGGGCCCCCATCAACAGTGTCCCGACGGTTAAGCACCACCCCATACCTTGGACGCCAACATCCGCATCCCACACATTGGTTGGCTTTGACCGACACTTCTTCTTGACAGTCAGGGCAAATCCAATGCGTGGCTCTCTCCTGGACGTTGCCCACGGCATGCTGCGAGCGGCCACATCCATTGCACCCATACCGGTGGAGGCCATTCGGTTCCCCACAGCCTCCGCAAATCCACCGCATTGTGTTGTTGAAGGTGGAGGGCGGTGGCGCCTTGGTCGGGATTTTCTCCTTTGGAGGCGCCTTTGGCGGAGGGGCTTCCGACCCGGGAGCTTGGGATGGCTTTGGGGCTGGAGCAGCCTTCTTAGGTGGGGGCGGCGAGGATGGGCTGCTAGGGCGCGCTTTCGGCGGTGCCTTGTACGCTGGCCGAGGAATGCAGCAGTAGTTTTCCGACACGGGAAAAATGCAGCCACATCTGCTGCAGTTCCAGAAGCTGCGATCTCCTCCAGGAGGGGGTGCTGCACTTGGACCAGAGCCACTCGAGCTCGGGGGCGGGGGAGGCGGTGCCTTTTTAGTCCGCTCCCATGGGTTGCTTCGGGGCGGAGCGCCCGATGACGAAGAACCAGGTTCATGCCCTGAAGGAGCTTCTCCTGTTCCCCCACATCCACTGGTCTGAGGTCCGCGTGGAGGTTCTCCATCACCAGTAGGCCCTTTGCCTCCAGAGGATTCTCCAGGGCGGTGGTCGCCATACGGGCCTTTTGAGGAGCCCTTCTGCTGCCGACGATACCCGAAGGGCGGTCCCTTGTGTTCGCTAGGTCGGCGTTCATGCCTCCATCGTCGGTGATGCCTCACCCAGCCGCATCTCATGCACCAGGCGTCTCCCCAGTACTGATGGTGACCACACTGGCGGCAGAACCTCAAGACACGCCCGCAGCGGATGCGCGGGTATCTGTCGATCTCCGGGCCAGAAGACTCGGTGTCCGGGCCCGCGCTGTCGAACTCCTCGCTGCTGGAGTCGTAGAAAGGGCCGGGTCCCCCATCGGCCTCTGTTCTTGCCCTTCGCTGTGCCGCGTGCCGAGGTGCTCGGGCCGGCTCCACGTCCAGGTGGCGGTGGCGCCTTACCAGCGCTTTTGCTCGAAGGAGGTGGTGTCGAGGAACTCGAGCTTGTCGGCGGGGCCTTTGGCGGAGGCGCCTGATTCCACCAACCATGGTGGGGGGCGGTGCCGCCTGAGCCTCCATCCGGTGCTGCACTCGAGGGAGGAGGGGCTGTCCCGCCAGTCACGCCAACACCCAGGATATTGTCGTGCAGAATCCGTAGGCTTGGGTTGAGGAGGATCTCCTTGGCATTCCCCAGGGCCTGCATGCGCACAGTGGCCATTTCAACCTATCAGGTGGACTTTTGTCCGGGTGGAGGCGGATCGCCGTGCGCTTGTAGGCGCGGAGGACCTCGCTCATGGCGCTGCCGGGTGCGAGGCCGAGGAAATCCCACGCACTGCCCCATTCCTGTATCCACTCGCGAAGTTGGCGGTTCCCCATTCCGGTTGGCGGAGCTGCCTCAGCCGGGGAGAGCGGAACGCTTGCTGGAGCAAAGAAAGCAGCTCCGGAGACATGCGTGAGCCAGGTCTCTGAGGATTTATCGGCAGCTGGTCACTAGACGAAGCAGCAGACTGTGCACTCACAGAAGTCCTATTAGGGCTGGCTTCAGGCGGAAGGAGCCATTCAGGGGTACCTCCGAAACGACACAAAAAGGGAGGGGGATCAACAATCCCGCCAGCTTCAAGTTGCCTGCGAAGCCTAACCCTCTGAATAAAAGTAAGCCCAGTGGTCCTTTCAAGGTGCTCAAGATGCGCTTGGCTAGCTTCCCAGTTGACGTCGAAACCCTCAGCGGAGCCTCCAGCCTGGCTATCGGTATCGCTACCTTCGCTAGATGGGCCTCCGGCTCTTGTCCCCAAAGCGGCACGCCCGCTTGGGTGTGAGTACTGCTGGGGTTGGAGCACAGGGCGGGACGCCAACATGTCTTTAGAGCGGCTAGGGGCAGCGGCAAGGTCAGTGTACAGGTAGGCATGGATAGCATCGGACTTCCAACCTCCAAACCTCTTCACTACCTCAACGTCATTGGTTACAGCCAGCATGGCGGTGGCGCCTCCTTTTCGCAGGCTGTGCGAAGCAACGAGGTGAGCTGGGTATCCCAACGCCACGGCTGCTAACCTCAACAGATCAGAGAGGCTTTCACGCGAGATCCCTATACCCTGCCAAGCGCAGACCGGAAGGCTAACGTCATTAACCCAAAAGGGGTTGTGTTTAGCATGCTCCTGCAGAGCCCTCACAGGACAGATCTCCTCGCCAGTGGCATGCTGAAGTCTAACCTGCCCTCTTCCGAACTGGTCACCCTTAGAATCCCTCAGCTGAACGGCGAGGGAGTCAGCTTCGAACACAGTACAGCGCCGCCCCTTGCAAAAGAAGTCGATGTCACTTCCACGCAGAACCCGAGTGGGCACATTGCAAAGGTCGGACCCTGGGAGGTACTCCGAGGCTCGCAGCATGAAGAACCAGCCTAAGCAAATTGATGTCCAAAGGGCTTTCCGTTCGGCCAAGGGGCGGTCCGACCCGTCAAGGTACCTTTTCAACCAAGTAAGCATGCCGGGAGTCACGGGTACTTTACGAACCGGCGCTCCATCCCAGCGATTCATTCCAGCCAGAGCGGCCCAAAGTCGAACTCGGCCTGCGAGAGGGTCCTGATAGCCGGCCGCTATGTGTGCATACCGGATCCCGGATAGCCGTTGTTTAATGCCCTGGGTGGTACGCCCCATCACTTGGTGCAGGAAAACCGTAAAGCGGATAAGCCAGTCCTCGTCTTGTTGCTTTTCCACTCGTGATTCGCCTTGCAAGAAAGGGGAGACACCAGTGCCAGACATGAACGACGCCCACTGCTTCCAGCCCGTGTTATACGAGCGCCTGGTTGAATCAGCAAGCTTACTCAGCACAGCTTCCTGCCCTACTTGGTCCAGGAAAGAGACACCGCTGCCCTGAGGCAGCCCGTGGACTCCAAAGAACTTCTCCCTTTCATCCCCAAGCAGGACTGGTGTAACCAGAGAGCGCTGGGCCGGATCGGCCTTCTTCTTGATGGGCCCCCCCACTCGGGTGTCTTCCGACTGGTTCCATGCAGTCGGCTCCACTCCGGGCGGTAACGACCCAAATGGAACCTCTGAGAAGGGTACTCCATTCTTGGGAGGTGACTCCTTGCGCGCAGCGATTTCACTAGGGCTCAGAGGACGCACTCCTCCTGGCTGACTCGGGATCAGGTTGGCTCCAGGACCTTTCAAATCCTGCGTCGGGCCTAGGAAGGCGCAGGCTGGGCCCGAAGGGTGGTGCACCAGACATTTGGGCGGGAAGCCTGGGCCCTTAACGTGCCCGTAGGGGTGAGGAAGCCATGGATCGCCGGTTGTGATAATGCTCGGTTCCTGGGTCACAACCCCTCCCAAATGCACAGTAGCGGCCTGGGCCTCGGGGTCCAGGGGAATAAGTTGCATTGCGGGAGGGGGATGAACACGGTGCTGCTCAATCCCTTCAGGGGGCGGTAACACCTGGTCAGCCCAACCCAGAAGGAGCTTTCTTTTCCGGGCGCTAAAGGCACCCAGATGAGAGCTGACGTACGAGATCAACCTAAGATGCGGAAGAATCTCTCGTATGGCTGACTCCAGCTGAGAGGTATCCATCTGCCTTGGGCAGTCGACAACGAGCTTGCCGAGGCGATTCTGGCTTGACTTCAATTGAGCCCAGAAACGAGCCCTCTCCTTGCCTTGAGGGTCCTGGGAGAAGGTGAACCAGGCATTGCCGTGACTCCCCTTTTCCCAGGCGCGAAAAAGCCGGAGAGCAATTGCGCAGCTAGTGAGCTCCGGGAAATCGTCCACATGCCATACCTCCCAGGACTCGCGAAGGCACACATGTGTTAGCGAGGGTTTGGGGGAATCAGGGGTGTGGGTGAGCTGGCGAGCCCTTTGCGCACTTGGGTCGAAACCAAGAGGCAAAGCCAGAGCGGAACGCTTTGCGTCCTGGAGGAACTCCTCCCAATGAATTTCCCCTGGAGTCTCTTCCCAACCGTCGGCCCTAAGCTGTTCCCGAACCACTCCCAAGTCCTCCCGACTCAGCCAGTCCGCAAGTTGGTTCCGATAGGTGCGGATGTAAATGGGATGGACCGTGAAGTTGTGCTCACACTCCAAACGCTGGACAAGCCTGATGAGCAAGCTAGCAACCCTATTACCTGGGCGACGCTTGTAGAGCCAACTTCGAACATTGGAGTTATCCGTGAAATACAGGACAATCTCCCCATCCCAGTTTTGCTTTCGATGGCAGGCGAGAACAACGAAGGCGAGCAGTTCCATAATGGAGATAATATCGGCCTCGTCCTCCGCCGAGGCTACCGCTCGCAAAGCGTCCTGAAACCTGTCCACCGTGGAAGCATGGAAGACCTTGGCCCCCCAATCAACTGCCCCAATCCTATCAAGAGTGGCGTCACCTCCTGTGATCCGCGTTCGGGCGGTAGCACCTGGGAGAGCGAGCCTCTCGCGGATAGGCAGTAGCTTTTCGAACACTGAGGTGAAGCTAGACTGCAAAGGGGCCTCCAATTGGAGCCGAATGAAATCCAGAGCATCCCAAAAGTTTTCCCATCTAAGGGATTCCTCCTGAGGGTCACTAGCCTCGACCCTGAGAAGAGTTTGAGTCTTTCCTTTGACTTCTTTTCGACCTTGGCCTTGGAGGTTCCCTTTAAGGAGGCAATACAAAGAAGGGAGATGCGGGGTGAGGGCAGGGCAAGCAACTGTCTAGTATTGGGCGCACCCAATGACCTCCTGAAGCAGGCCAAGTGGGACCTCCCTGCACCCTCTTTGTAAAGCCGGCTCCCCCAGCAGGTACTTGGCTTTCATTCTCTTAGGCTCTGGAAGCCGCACCTGATGTTGCTCAAAGTCCATGTGGAGTCCCCATAACAGTTGGGTCGCCGAAGGCTCCCCTTCCTCGGCCATCTTTTCCACATTTACCCCTTCGGGGCCCCAGACCAACTTCATGGTCTCATCGAGCACCGCCAACGAGTCAAAGACTCGAGTGCCGACTAGAGGTTCCACCACCACTCCGTCGTCCATCAACCACTTCGACTCATACGGTACGACGTCGTTGAAGCGAGGGTCCTCAGGGCGGAACGACCCATGATGCGCCTTCGCGGCGGCGCTCCAGGCCACAAATTCCCCGGAGCCCACCCATCCGAAGGGCATCGCTAGGCTGAGTATGATCAAACCTGCCAGACGGACGGCAAATTCTGGAACAGTTGTTCGACCTCTCCTTCAGCGGGGTCCACCAGCAGAGCTGCGCCGTAGGCTCCGTCCTTCCAAGCCTTCTGGAGGAGCTCCTCTTCGTAGCCGTACACCGACCCATGGTTCTTAGCTTCCTCCCTACGGAGCGGAGCTTCCCTACGGCTCGGCGCCCCATCCTCCGCGCTTAGCCGGAGATACTCCTTATGCAGGGCGGACACGCCTTTGAAAAGGCCTCGTTTCGCACCTTCCAGGTGGTCTCCCAACTTAGCCGTCCGGGCCGAGTTCAGGGCTTCGACCGCCTCCTGTACCGTGCCAGCTGCTATCACCAACTCCGCTCCCAACCTGCCAGCTTCCATAGCCTTGTCGACCGAGAAAGGTGACTGGCAGTGCTCAAGGTACTCAACCGCTTTGGTATAGGAAGCACCTCCCACCCTCTCAACACGTCCTTCGCTAGCTTCCTCTGCGATTTTTGGGACCGCCCCGCCCGGTGGGAGGGGGCAGGCCTTTAGCGAAGGGGGGCCAGCTACCTTGGCCGCGAGGTGGCCCAACCAACAAGAGGCTAGGTCCAGTGCTGAAGCGGCCGCGGGACGCCCACGGTAGCCAGTTGGTGGAACTCTTCCCAAGAGTTTTCCGGGATACCCCACCAAACTGAAGAGGCTGCCAAGCGCTGCACGAAGAGCCGCATACGGCACCCTGTTAAGTGACGTAACAAGCCAAAGGGCTGGGGCGGAAACACCACGCCATGACAGTGCGGGGACTGCTTGAGCAGCACCCTAACTTGCTCGAGGAGAGTAGACCAGCACGGGGGCTGCGCCTCCGCGAGCCACACTAGGTATCCCGAGGATAGCGACTTTGTTTGGGAGTCTACCCACCCTTGCATAGCTGAGGCGTCCGCGTCAAAATCGGGCAAACACAAGCGGTGCTGCGCGCCAGGGACCTCGATGACGATGTCGGACACCGTGACCAAGGCAGGGTGCTCATGTCCTGTTTTCGGTGTAGCCAGCGCCTCTGGCGGAGGGCGAGCGGGGTCGCCCAGGTCGTCATCTTCGTTCCCTGCCTTGCACGGGGTCTGCGGGCGACGGCAGCGGTAACAGGGGTGAGGCTTAGAAGGGATGATTTCCCCTTCCGCCTCTTGTGCTTCAAGAAAGGCTCCCCAACCTGTTGCCTCAAGCTCGCGGGTCACACGGGCCCCGTCTTGGGCGGTACTCACCAGTTGCTCGAGGACTGCTGCACTACTTAAAATAGTCCCCATATGCCCTCTATGAATCACCACTGCCCCGGTGCTGAGGATCGGGCCTTCGCCGCTGACCGTGTCTATCTCCACCGCTCCCTTATGGGAGAGCCGAAGGACCAATAAGCGCTTACCTCATAAAGGAAGGGGCGAAAAGCTGGAGCACTCGGAAATCTTTCTCATGATCCAGATAGATACAGTCGTGGGCGTTGTGCCTCACAAAGGCCTCGGCAGAGCTGATGTACGTCCCGGCATCGCCCAGATGCTGGAAAGCTTGACTACTAGACTCCCATAGTTCTAACCGCAACTCGGTGGCAGTGGCTTGGCAGGTCTGCAAATCATGCGTGTAGGCTAAAGCGACATGCAGGCATAGGCACTGCCTCGATTCAACTGTGCCTGAAGACGGGGTCATTAAGGCAAGCAAACCGTCATTAAGCTCGAGCTTGTCCTGTACGTCCACCACTGGCAAGGGCGGAACGCCTTCCCACCGAGGGTCCTCAAAGACTAGCTGGGTTTTTCCAACCTCGTTATCCCAAGTCAAGGCCTCAAACTGAGCTTCTGGTCGAGGGGGTGGGAGACCTGCCTTGCCTCCGAGAGA